GGATGAGCGCAGTTACGTGTCGTAGTGTAGCGAGGAGCTGATCACAGCTTCTGGTTTTGAAATGCAGCTGGATTTATTCATTTATGGTGATAAACATGAGGTGGCAACGCAGACCCCAGCCTGAAGTGGCAGGTCCCTAGGCCCGTGTGGTTTTATCCTGAGGGCAGTGAAAGCAGATCCTCGAGGAGTGTGTGTGGGGTGGGGGGAGCTGTGGGAGACAAAATCCCATTTGATATTCCATGGACAGAAAACAGCATGGGGTCTTTTATGGTAAGTATAATTAAGCAGAATCAAAATTACAAAGGGGTTTTTGGCAGCCACTGTGACCTGAAAGTTATGTTTGGGTTATCAGTGTGTTGTGTGAGTGGCTAGTGCCACCTTCCAGGGACCAGACGCCTCACCACGGGCAAGAGTGCCAGCGCCACAGCACTTGTCTGATGTCCTGGCTGCTGCCAGGGCCTGCTGCCCATGCCTCGGTTAGGGGTTGTGTCTGAAAAACTCCACGTGAACACACTCTGCTATTCAATTAGGAAGAGCTTTGGGAAGGGTGGCTCTGTCGCCCTTGACATTTTTCCTGCAGATGGTGTAGAAGGCATTCGGCACGTTACTGTTGCATATGATCAGATTTTTTTAATGAACCTTGTTATTTCCAAGAGCCAAATATATTTCAGCAGCCTTAAAACGCCCGCACTTACTATAATGGCTGGGTCATTCTGCAGCTATTGCCAGAAACCCAATTGCCCATTTGGAAGGAAGAGTAGAGATGTGTCATTTTATAAAGAGTTGCAATGAGGGTGGTTTTTACCTGCAGGTGAAAAATCATGAATGTGTTGCTTTGTTACTGTGATTTGCCACTTGCACATTTATCATCACTGATTTGATGTATTTTGTTCTCTGCTTGAGAAGCTGCTGGCTACAAATAACCAGTAATCTTTTGCTTTTCTCTGAAATCTCTTTAATTGTATGTGTGCTTCCTTTCCTTCGCTGTGTGTGGTCAGGTGCAGACTGCTGTCTGCCAGAGGCCTTTTGTACTTTGGGTAAGAGAAAAAAGCAGTTGTGTCTGATGTGTCATGGGCTTATAGTCATCATAACTCAATAACATGAAATTATTAGTCATGTTTTCTTCTCAGTTGTCCAAGACAGTTCCTGAGTTTCCTGTCTGTCTCTTTGACGAGTTTACATTTCCTCTGAGTAAGGAAAATACTGACCTTTTTTTAAGCAACCTTTTGGCCAGCTTCAGTGCCGTGGTTTCCAATCTCAGCTGTATTTGCTGCCTCTCCTCAGTGAGGCTGAGCTCAGCCCACTGCCAACCCTCGCGTTACGTTGCAGCCTGCAGACTCCTCCGCTGCCCTGCATGCCTGAGCAAACCTGAGGCTTGGCCCAAAGCCTATGGACAGAATTATGCCCAGTTAGATTAAAGTTATAGTGGAGGTGAAGGTGTAACTGCAGTGATATCAAATCCCAAATTTGGAGGTAGATGCAATCCTTGTGCAGCCTTGAGGCATTACAATTCCTGGCAATTCCACGCCTGTGCTGTAAACTGTGGTTAATTGACCTGGCCTCCTGATTTTGCTCCTCTGAACTTTCTACGTAAGTAGAAACAGCATGACTGTCCTTTTAATGCTGGGGTGACTCCTGCTTCAATACAGTCTTCTTAATATAAAGTTTTTAAATTTTCCTTGCAAGAACTGTTGTCTCTTGGAGGCGGTGAGATAAAAGGTGGATATGCACAATGCCCCAAACAACTGCTCCATAAATTCTTAAGACCTGACAGCACATCAGTAGCCTTGCTGCAGTCGTGAAGTTACCTGGTTTGGAGTTTCTGTTATTTTTAAAAGGTAAATAATGGGCGTGTTCAGTATTAAAAAGCTGTTACTTGTGAACAGTGATTATAAAACTGGAAAGCATGGTCATGGTTGTACAGTCGTAACTGGGCCACAACTGGCAGCGCGTGGAAGCCCATCCGCGCCGTAACAAAGCTGCCAGACGTCCTGGGGCAAGCGGGGCCCAGGAGCATCGCCTGGTGGCTTCGGATGCACACGTGTGCTTTCCAGATACCCTTATCGCCCCAAAGCAGGGTGCCCCGTGCCAGCCACTAGGATTGGTGGGGCTTTTTTGTTTGTTTTCTTTAAACTTAGTTGCTGAAGCACAATTCTGCACTGGTGGGCAGTGTTGGGGGGATGTTTCGCTTCTCTGGTCTGCCGGAACCTGAAGGGAGGTCCTTGTGTGGTTTGGGCAGAGATTTCTCAAAGTTTGAGGAGAGACAAAAGATTTTTGAAGAGAGAGGTGGGATACTGGAAGTTACTTCTGGTCTGCTTTTATTGAGCTAGTGTTGAGCTTGATAGCCACTCTTCAGGAGATTTTAAACCTTGCACCCCATCCCAAATACTGAACTGAAGGAGGTAAAGGTGCAGTCAGAGGAAAGGTCTCCGTGGGAACAGGGAGGAAGCAGACTGCTTCATGGGTGCTTCTTGAAAATAGAGCATCCCGTAGGATGGGAGAAGCGTCTTGCAGATGCCTGAGCTAGGCATGAGACCTGTCCTTGGCAGGCACCGGTCAGCAGTTGCCAGAGAGGCCAAGAGCGTTGTCTCATTGTCTCCTCCTGCCTTTTGGTTTAGATGGGAAGGAAGCATAGGCACCCCTGGAATCTCAGGGAGGCTCATGCCCCGTAATGCCGTCTCTGGTGGACCAGCATGCAGGCTACAGCTGGCAGCGAAAAGCCCTCCCTAAGCCTGGTGATGGTTTAATGAGTGCGTGTACATGAAAAGTGCCGCGAGGACATGGAGCGCTCCTGGCTGCTCAGAAAATGATCTTGACTTAAATGTGATCTCCACTTGGTCACCGTTAACTTCACCGGTGTAGTTGCCACTAATAAACTTCTGCGTGCTGCCTGCGTAGGAATCGGTAACAACAAGTCAGCGACAGAGCCAGAAGCAGGGAAGGAGCTGACACTTTGAGCCTGCTTTTATTTTGCTTTATGGACTCCTTGTGCTGGATCCTTGTTGTGCCTTCAGCAGTTGCTGTGGTTCGCTGTTGGAGTGTCCCGGTGCTGTTTGAAGTTTAATTGCTCTGCTAGCTGTCAGACTCTGCTTCAACGTCTGTTTTCTGTAAGTTTGCAGAAGGTACAGAGTTGTTGGTGACACTGAATCACTACAAATCACGTAGCTGAGGAAGAAGCTGTGCCGTGGCACTTCAATTCCCCAAAAGCTATTTGCACAAACAGACACAACGTCACAGTCTCCTGGTCCTCGCCTCAGCCTTTTGTGTGTGCCAGTGAGTTGATTTGAAGAGGAGAAGTTTGATCTCAGCCAGGAATCAGATAACGTGGAACTTTTTGCAGCAAGCGGGAATTGCAGAGCAGATTGTCAGGGCAGCGTGTTCCTGAGAGTACACTGAAGAGCTGCCTTGAGAGCGAGCCGTGGAGAGGCGAGGCATTAGACTCACATGGAAATAATATGGTGTTTGTATAAAAAGTAAGAATGTAACTGAAATCCTGGTGTGCCTGTGGGATTGCAGCTCTGCGGTATCAATAGCTGTGTGTTCTCATTTGAATGGGAGCGACGCTGGCACTGGAGGAGTTATTGGTGTGGGATGGTCACACTGGGAGGGTTTCCTGAGCCCTTTGCTGTAAATGCCGTTAGTGCTACACAGATACAGAGGAGGACATGGTATAGAAGGGGCAAAGGCTGTGCGTAGGTGTAGTCCGTTGTGCCAAAGTTTTCTGGCTATTTTCCTTCAGTCTTTTGTTTATTGTCTCTGAATTGCGGGACACAAAGGGCTGATGGTTATGGATTTCTTGGAAGCCAGAATACCATAAAACCTATGCACTTGCTTTCAATGGGGAATGTGGTAGGAGTGTCATGGGGGTGGCCGTGTTTTGGTTTTGTTTTCTGCGCTGCTTGGTTATAAAGTGCTGTACTGACCTTTTAATGCTTACTTCAGACATGGTCATAGACATTCTCTTTCTAAATCTGATCAGGGCACAGTAAGCCATGAAACCAGTCTGTGTCTGTATCTTAATCTAGGGACTATAGACGAGCAGCTATAGGGAAAGCTATGCTTCTGCAAAATCCATTGTGGTCAAATTGGAAATGGTGCCTGAAACAGCAGCAAGTCTGTAGTTGTATATTTGCAGAGGTTTGGGTTAATAGAAGAAAATGTGGTTTATTGGCATGGGTATTTGAGTGTACTTGCATGGTAAAAATGCACTGCTTTTTGAACGCCCTTCCTCCCCGCTCCCCCGTGAATTCACTTCAGGTAGAAGTCCAGCCCTAAAAACTCTGCGGTTCTTTGGCAGAGATGCTGCTCCTGATGTTCCAGTTCTGTTGCAGTCTGGGCAAGTTGCTGAAGTCTCCCAATAAGCATTTTGAGGGTTGGATGATGTTAGGGCCCCATCACTCCAGGTGGGCCAGCCCCCTGCGTTGCCTGCGTAAGCTCTGCATCCCACCCCATCCCACCCCGTGCTGTGCTGTGGTCCTCAGGTGCTGAGCAGCAGGCAAAGCCCAGCCCTGTGCTGGTATCCAGCAGTATCAGCAATGGACATCATTTGAAGCCAAATTTATGTCCTTTTACTGTGCTACGTCAGAGAGAACCTCTCTCTATGAAATACGTATTTACCTAAAAAAATCTATAAAACACATTAGTTTTACACTCCGTAATCTGTCTTCATAAATGATAGAAATTTATCTTCAGTGGTAAACACCTTTAGGACTGTATTGGATTAAATATCCATCAGTGCTTGACATCTGAATTATTTGGGACCTTCTCCCTTTGGAAAGAGAGAGGCAGCACGTGTGACCGGGCGGGAGCTCAGATGTGTGTAATTTGAAGTGGAGGGGTCTTTGAAAGCACGTGGCTGTGTTCTGTTTCCCTACGTGATGCTGGTGGTAATTCTATTTTAGCTGTTAAACCACTGTTAGGAAAATGAAATTTATGGAATTTAAAAGCTACCTGCTGATTAACTGCTGTGGTTTGTTCTTTGTATTATTTTATCTCTAGATCAGTCGTATTGTCATCGGCTGCAACACGACATGTATTTTCTTACAAGCAATAGCCGACTGAACGAGCAAGTGGTTGATAAAATTATTCTTCAGCTTAACAGAGTCTACCCCCAAATTCTTACCAATGCAGAAGCAGAAAAGGTAATTTGATGGATTTTACTATCTATCTCTCTGAACGGTGCGTTGTTTTTGTGGGTCAGTAGCTCAGCTGCCCTCTTCCCAATCTGACTCTCGGTGCCACATGCAGCCAATCTTCCTCACCTCTGACTTGCTGACCAGTTGTGTCTGGACTCTCGCGTTGGAGGAGAAGTCCCAGGGCTGGCGCGTTCCCTGTGCCAACAGCAGGGGCGTAATGCCACAGTCCCTGCCGTGACGTTGGACGCTGTGCATGCAGGAGCACGCTATCTCATAACCACTCCATGGGCAGGATTGTTCCTGTCGTGTGACCAGCTGCCTGGCATGCCTGCTCCTCACGTGGGTCAGCGTGGAGTGTCGTGTCAGATGATCTGTGCTGCATCCAGCTGTGTCCAAAAAATCACCTGTGATGGGTTTGCCCTTGGCCAGGGGCCAAACCACACGTACCCACTCACCCAATCCCCCCCACCATGGGCACAGGGGAGAGAATCAAAGGGGTGAAGGGAAAAAAGGACTCGTGGGTTGAGATAAGAAAAATTTAATAACTGAACTACAATAATATTGAAAATAATCCTATATACAAATATACAATTGAGTGACACACAGTGACACTGCCCCCGCACCCGATGGCCAAGGCTCAGCCTGTTCCCGGCCAACGATCCCGGAGCAGGGAGAGTCCCAAAACCACACTCACGGAACGGAGAGAACAGCCCGAGCGTCCCAGACCCAGAGCTGACCGGGGTGGGGGGGAAAGGCCTTGGGAGAGCGACCACCTGGAGCGAGATGACCCGGAGCAAAAGAGATCCGGAACCAAAAGGGCCGATCTTCCGGAGGGTCCTCACCTCTATCCTGGGCATGATGGGTCTGTTATGGGATAGATTATTGGCCACTCTGGGTCTCGGTCCTGACCCTAAGATCAAATCCTGGGCTGGTCACTGGGGCTGTGCTCCCTCCCAGCTTCTCCTGTTTGCAGACAGCCAGAGAAGCTGAAAGACCTTGGCAGCGGGTAAACATCACTTTTTATCAGCTTTCTTCTGAGCACAAATCCAAAGCACAGCCTCTTGCTAGGTGTTGTGAAGAAAGTGAACTCTGTCTCAGCTGAGCCCAGGACATCATCTATATGAGCTTAATCAGTTTCAGTTGCTGATTAATGTGATTATAACTCTGAGCATGGGTAGAGAAGGGGGGCATTAGTCCCCCCTGTAAGCGTGGGGGCGTTGGGGGAAGTGGATGGAATTAGTAGCATCTTCCAGTGGTGCTGCTGTATATGGAAGAAAGCTGCCCTGCCTGCCATGAAGCTTTCAAAAATGGGTAGCTTCTTTTTAGGGAGAAGGATCTTTTAAACTTCTGTGGAGTGAAAGTCAGTTAAAAGCTCCCCAGATCCCACTTATAACAGTTTGTACTTGCCATTTGCTGACTCAATTGTCTGCACAAGGCTTGGGGTTGTGACATTTACATTTTCCTAATATATTTTAACATTGGGAAAAGTAGGTGTAATTCTGCCGTAATCAAACTCCATGGGGATGAGTAGTGTTTTGGTGGTGTAGAGCAGTGCTGGATCACCAGCTGCGCCAGCCTAGCCACTCGGTTATGATAAACAGTGTGACATGCACACTTAAAGATCATCTCATTCCCTCAAGAGCTTCAAAATAAATGTATAAAGAATCTGTGAAACATCCTCTGTGACTTCTGCACTTAGCAGACAGAAGTGAACTGCTTTCTCCTAGATCCAGGCAAGTTTCTGTCAAACCCTGTTGAGTGTTTAGGAAGCTTACAGCCTCAGCTATACCCGGCTAGACCTTGGGGGAATTTTGTCAGAATAAGGAGTGTTGTATAAAGTACGTTGCATTCCTGTCCCCCTTTGCTGAGGATGGCTTTGGATGAGATGAGCTGAAATTGGTTGGATGTCTAAGGCTAGGTACACATTTTCATTCTCTTTGTAAGGTCTCCTAATATTCATCACACTTTGGGCTACAGAATCATAGAATCGTTAAGGTTGGAAAAGACCTCAAGGATCATCAAAGTCCAACCATCAACTCAACATCACCTAACCCACTAACCCATGTCCCGAAGCACCACAGAAAGAAAGTATATTAAAGAAGATTACTCTATGATTTTTTTAAATTCCCTTACAAAAAAGGAAATTTTACTTAATTCCAGAATTAATCCTCTTTATGTACATAAATGTTTACCTAATGTTGATCTTGTTGCTTGTACTGATTGAGTGAAACAACTAAATATACTATGCTATTATTGCAAGACTAAGAGTAAAAAAGTGCTTCTTCTGCAACCTCTTGCCCCGTTGCCTGAGTAACGGGGATTTGTACATGGTGCACGGGGTGGGCAGCAGTTAGTTATGCTGGAAACAATGCAACATGTAATCTTGGGATAAGGAACACTCCAATCCTGGGTCTAATATAAGCAGTATAGAGTACCTTTTTTGGGTGATCATTACTAGGCAACTCAGGGAAAACTTGAACATATACAACTTTACTATAAGACTTGTTGATGTTTTCTATCAATAGCGTCAGAATCAAATTGTAGTGGAGCAAGTGCCATGTTAGTTTCAATGCAGGGGAACCATCAAATGCAGAGTAGCCTGTTACTTTGTCAGGACAGAAAAAGTCCTGACGACTGCTCTACAATGCATGTCCTTTGCAGGTTCCCCTCATTTTTTTGGCCATCCTTTTGTAAATATAAACCAAGCTCCATATCTTCACTCCCTGACATAATGTAAAGTGATGTAAAAATGATCTCCAGCTGCTGCAACCTCTCTTCTGATAAGTGCTTTTCTCTTACAGTTCAGGAATCCAAAAGCATCACTCCATACCAGACTTTCAGATCTGATAAAGCACCTTCAAAAGAAAGGAGACAGGCACTGTCAAGAGTTCTATAGGGCTCTACAGATCAACGCTGAACAGCTGTATAATGACCTGCCAAGCAGGAAAATCTTGAGTAAGTTGATTTGTAAGTTAATCGATTGAGTTGTGGATTTCCTCGTCGGTGTACTCAGATGAGGTTTCCTAAACCTGCTGAGGTTACTTAAATAATTTCTGGGATATACATTAATTCCTTCTGGTGGGAATTTTCCAAAAGCTGTGTGTGTGGTGATTTGACTGCATAGTTCTTGTTATTTGTTATTTGATTAGAGTGGACAGTCTAAAACTCTTTGATTGTTTTGAAATATGAAATGAGTCTTTAAAACCGTTGAAGTGCAACATGTAAGGCAGAAATATAACTCGTATGAAGTACAGTTCCTCTTTTCATACCCATTGCTTCCTAATGGCTTGTTTATTTCCTCTGTGTTTATTCTGACTTGTATAGAATCATAGAATCATTAAGGTTGGAAAAGACCTCAAGGATCATCAAGTCCAACCGTAGCTCATAAGAACATTACAAACCTCAAATTGTTAAGCTCAAGACTGGTGACTGAGAGGCTTGGCTTTCCCTCAGTCTGTAAACCTCCTACTTGTGTCTAGTTTTTCAAGAAGCAAACATTCATGAGCCCTTGCAATGATGAACTGTAATATTAATCCCTTAGGACCTGTTTTGTGCAGCTGGCAGGCCTGACTGATGTCCGTAAAGCCGCCCCCCGATGTACATGTGTGTACTTGGGAAGGACAGAGGCTCAAACAGATTTCATTCCATACTGCAAAGAAGCCCATTGCTTTAAGGAAAAGTTTCAAGCCTGGTTTGCCAACCTGGGATAACGCTTGCTATGTGTTGGTGTTCCTTTTTTTTTTCCTCCCTACCTAGTAAACTGGAACAATGTTCCAAGTGGATGGGAAAATAGGTCCAGGCATCCCACATACCGAAATGACTTGAGGAGCTCAAGGGAAAGCTCCCATGTAAGTTAATGAAGCTGCAAAGGGACTGCAGTTTAAGAAATCCTTATAAGGTATCTAACAGCACTAATGCTTCACTGGTCAATTGATTTCTAGTTGTAAGAAATTCCACAGTCAGGTGCCAGGGGAAATCTTAGATATGTGGGTCAAACTCCAGTGAGATTCAAAGGGTTACACCAAAAGTCCATAGGTTTTAAAAAAAACCAATTAGACCTGTTTTATTCCTGGAGTGAAAATGGCATGTAAAATTGTAATTGCCTTTGAAGATACTGCGTCGTCTAGCTTAGTTTTGCCTTTCATTTTGAAGGTACAGATACGTACCAGTGGAAGAGATCACCATTCTCCTGCCTGCACAGGGAGGCTGCAGAGCTACCCCAGGTGTCCATATCCCATACCTGAACCCTACTGAACTGGGAAAGTCTGGGCCCATCCCAGCCTCAGAATCTTAGCTAAGCATGAATCCCTGTTGATTCAGCCTTACAGCGCCTTTAAGGCAGTGCTTTTGATCTGATATTCACCTTGCAGAAGTCATGCCCTTTGAGGGAACCGGCTCTTAAATCAAATAGTCTTGGATCAATCATTGTTACTCTGATAGAACTCAAGAGCAACAGGTTTTTCTGCCAGGCTGACTGGAAGGCAGTAGAAAGCCTTTATTAATAAAGAACAACTTCAGAGGTCTTAATGTAGTCACCAAGAATAAAATTTCAAGAGTGTATTGCTGGTTGAAGAGTTTAAGCTCTGTTCATGTTCAGTAACGCTTACCTTCTACAAGCCACTCCTGAAGATGTGCTGCAACGTGTGTGCAGTAGCCAAGGCTTGATGGCATCCTGCACAGACGGTCTGAGTTCCTTGGGGAACTGAAATAGCATAGCTGTGACCAGCTTCATCCGCACCCATAAAGCTCACCTTGGAAGCTGCGCAGACCCTGCGAAGGTGAACTCTCCCAGTGCCTGGTGCTGTTGTTGCCCCTGGTCAAACCAGCTGAAAGGAAACTTGGAGCGGGTGTCCGCGTGGTGGTTTCACTTCTAGCTAGAGCGTAAACGTGCTCGTCCTTGCACCTGGTTTACGTGGTGACTTCTGGGAGCTTTTACTTGGGTAGCCACGTGAGTGGGGTTAGGGCTTCTCGTGTTCAGACACGTGCTAGAAGTGCTTCCCATGAACAGCAGAGCTGCTCGTGGTGCCCCAGCGCTGGCTTGCTGCTCTTGCGTTATGCAGAGAGACTCCAGTAACCATCCTAAGTCATGAAATTACCTGCACCTTGGTACACTCTTATGTTACCATCCTCAAACCATGAGACTGATTTAAATAACTCTGTTAAAATACTACTACATGGTGAGATTCGGCAGTTTCCTTTTATTGAGCTGAGAAGGAAATAAGGAGGTAATTGTGTTAATATGTTTGCTGCTTCTTACGAGTTCTGTAATTAAGACGAATGTCTGCATTCCGGATTGAACAGCTGATAAACATTTCTGCAGCATTTTAAGCTAAACCCACAATTTTATTCTTCAGGAAAGGCTCCCTTTTTAATGTGAGGTGTTATTTCTTGTTTAAGTGAACTGGAACATTTTGAATATTAAAGGCGTTATCCTTCCAACCTCTAACATGTACAATTCTTATGTTACTTAAACGTTACTCACAGTAGTAGTGGTTAAATTTGTCAAATTTAGCAGAGTGCATTTACAGAATTGACGCTAGAATTTGCAAGTGTGAGGAAAAAAGAGAATCTCTAACAGAGGGAGTTTGTCCTAAGTGCAAATTGAACTGAAACAAGCAGCATTATAAACACCTGGAGACGTTCTGGGTGAGGACACTGGTGAACAGAGTTCTGTAACAGATTACGTGCAGCTGCACATAGAAAAAAACATTTTCTACAGGGGAAATCCTTTCAAAGATTGCTTTTTCATTTTTAAAACTACTTTAAAGTTTGTGCTAGAAAAAAAAATGTCTTTGCCTCAAGTGTAATACTGCAGGTGAAGTGTTCAGTAGTGGCTGGGAATTCCCACTAGAGGGTGGGGCAGGCACACGCCACGGGCAGCTGCCGAGCTACTGCAGCTGGACGGGATCTTCCAAGGGACTCAGAAATGTTTTCACTTCTCTCAGTGCTGCTATAGACTGGAAATATAAAGGCTCAGATCAGCCCCACACGGCGATAGCCTGACAGAAGTGCAGGGACGTTCCCGTGCTCTCCCGTGAAGCGTGAGGAGCTTGTTGCCCAGGGAAGCTGGGGATGCTCCATCCCTGGAGGGGTTCAAGGCCAGGCTGGATGAGGCTTTGGGCAACCTGGGCTAGTGAGAGGTGTCCCTGCCCATGGCAGGGGGTGGGACTCGATGGTCTCTAAGGTCCTTTCCAACCCAAACCCTGCTGTGATTGCTAGCTGGAGTCCCTGGGGAGGACACCCTTGCCTGGCAGCCCACGGGAGACTCCCGTTGCTCTAGAGCGCACCATGGAGGCTTTGTGGCAATCCTTTCTGCTTCAGTGACCCGCAAGCTTTGCAGCAAAGTGCTTTAGATGTTTTTGTTCTGTTTGAAAGCCATGCCCTGCCACCCCACCGAGAGGGACAGATTCAGCACGGGAGATGGATGTTCACCATCTGATGCTGGCAGCCGGCAGGTCCCCTTTGCTGACCGGGTGTACAGGGCAGGTTCCAAAGCAACTCTCCTAGCTCCAGATTGGCATGTAGAAGAAGGAAATCAGTTGAAACCAAAGCATCTCAAATTCTTCACTACTGACAGACAAATTTGGAGTGCTCACTTTTTTTTTTTTTTCTTCTTCTGTTTTTTTGACCCCCTTGACCACAAAGAGGTTTGGCTAAAAAAGTTGTTTTGCAGATCCGTGATGCATTAATGTCATTCTCCTGCCATTTATGGTGACAGCGGTGTTCTTTAGTGTTGCCCACACTCTGCAGACAATGTTATCTCCTCGTCTATAGGGCAAAGGCACCTCTAAAGGAGCTGCAGGTCCTTCTGCCCAAAGCAGAAGCTGCTTTGTTGCTGCTAACTACAGAACTCTTTGTCTTAAGGTCAACCTCCTTTTAGAGGTTATTTGTGCCGTAGTACCTACAGGCATCAGAAGAAGCTGTCTGTGCCTTTAATTGAGACCAGAATTGGGACAAATAATCAGCACCAAGCAGTTTGTTCCAAGCACTTCATCCACCAGATCCGTTAATGCCCAAGGATTTACTCCAGAACAGAAAGAGTGGTGATGCATTAAATTAGAGGGGTGTTCTCAGACCAGCACGTATATTAACAAATTGTTTGTATTTATGACAGTGAAAGCTTCTGGTATTACGGAAGGATTAGCTCCCGCTCTCATCACTTGGTTAACAAGTGCAATGTTACTTACGTGATTAGTGCTTAACCCCATCAGAGGTGGTGGTGCAGCTATTTATAGTGACGTTCAAATTACTCTGTGCCTGTGTCTTTTGATCAACATATATCCAGGTTTAACTAGAGCGAAGATGTACCTTTGGAGGAAAATTTTGTGTCAAAGGAGGATATTTTATGTCAAAATGGGATATTGTTCTTGAATGTGTTGTTTTGCACAATTTTGCGTGTGCTGATTATGTTCGTTTGTTTGCTTTTGCTGGGTACTAACTTTTCATGTGTTGCTTTTGTTTCTAGAAACCACAGATTCCACAGAGATAGACACTGACAAGGAGAAATGTATGCTAAATGACAGGGGTAAATAAATGCCTACAGTGTCACTGGATGGAGTGGCTTTTCAGATTACCATGCAATTTTTTTTCTCATGTAATTTGCATTTTATGTAACAAATAGTTTGTTTTATGATGTCTTTACTGTCACAAGTTAAGTGGAATTAATGGAGGAAAATGTACTGAGCTGCTGTTGCAGGAACCAGTACCAGGAAATTCAAGAGACTGTAGACTTTAATCAATATTTACAATGGTATTTTTACTTACACTGTTATAGCTAAGCTCTTAATTTCCTGTGATTTCTTCAATGCTTGAATAGTAAGGTCTAGTCAGCTGCTGCTGCTGTCATTTTGCGTAAGGCCATCAATAATTTTTTTATATCGCTTTCAAATTTTTTTCTTTTTTTTAAGCTTTTACTTTAAGTACAAATCATTTGAAAACAAAGACAGAAAGGAAGATGAGCAAGGGTGAACTTAATATATATTAGGAAATACGTGTTAATTTTTTTCCCCTTCCTTTGTTCAGTGCCCAGATTATAGAAGCAAATATTCTGTTCAGAGGGAAATATTATATTATGAAGGAATTGAGCAAAGACTGAAGGATTTTCAGAATTTATAATGAACTATTTTATCATTTAGGTATAATTGCTATTTTATTTAGAAATTTAAATACAATTATGAGAAAATAAAAGCATCTTCTATGAACTGTGTTGTTTTGTCAGTTTTCCCCTGAGACAAAACTAAATCAAGGGGCAGAAACACAGTTTAACTCAAAGGATGTTTTTCCTTGTGTTGTTACTTTGACTATAGACGCAAATTGCTATTCTGATTTTTCACATTGCTACTGCTGACTGCAGAGTAACAGTCTAAGAAGAACAGAAAAAGTGCTTGGAAATAAGAAAATGAAATAATTTCTGTTCTTACACATGGTGACAAAAGAGTTGGCCTCAGGCTGGAGGCTGGCCGGCTGCTAGCCACCCTCATTGGGGGATGACAGCCGAAGGAGCAGCCAAGTCCTTGCTCCGTTGTCCTCGTCCATGTGGTCAGCTCCACTATTTGTTAGTCTGCAGTACATTTGTCCTTGCGGTGGGTTTGCCCTTGGCTGGGGG